TAAAAGGAGTTACAGGATGGAGAGATGACAAACCCTGAACATGGTTGTAGCCCTGTTAGCAGTGTGGAGCATGCCTCCTACCCAGAAGGTCATAGGTAGTGACTACAACATTACAGAATGCCCCTTCACAGTGACATTAGATTTTGTCTGCGATATCAATATTAGTTTATTACATCAGCACTTCATTTGATGAAAATTTCCCTTGCAGACTGCTTACCAGAGGTTTTTATATCACTTTGATACCTAGTACAGATGAAAACACTTTATCTTGAGAAGATATTAAATATCTTGTTGGCTATATTGCCATGTTTGACCAAAAATTCTAGGATATTTTCTTTGGTGTTATTTGCAAACACAATACAGGACACAGCTCAAGTTGGATTTTCCTGTGTCCTCTCACCTAAACAGTTACTTGCCATTATGATTTAAGAAGTGTTAAACAATTATAGTTGTAAAATGACTGGTCATTCTCCTAAGCAGAAAATTACTGGATTGAGATGGAGCAGGGAGCGTGTCATGCAGTTTTAGAGTATTGCAGTCATTTGCTGCACCATGATAGAGAGACAACTCTCTGAAGGGAAGCAGAAGAAAAATAGAACTCGTACTGCTGTGTTTTTCTGCTACAGATGGGAAATCAATAACATATTTTTGATGAAAGGTGGTAGCTGCAATTCATATTTGTAAATGCAACATGTTGAAAATCTATGTAGCATTAACAAAAAATGTTCATGGACTACTTTTTAAAAAAATGTTATTTCTTTTCATTTACCTGTAAAATACATTCTGTGTCTTCAACTGCAGAGTACATGACACAAGCAAGCAGATTAGGAATAGCCAACGTGGGATTGAGAAACATTGTACAGACCCAGCATCAAATGCTTGTGCACTTACACCTCACTGGGAAATGCAAAGTTCTCTGATAAAATAGTTTATTTGATGAATATTTCAGGAAATTACAAAAGTCAGTATCTCTGGCTGTGGGTCAATATGACTTGCCACTAGAAGCTGGAAGTAATATCTCTTGTAATTCTGCAAGACCTCACTACTGTTACTGCTACTAGAAAAAATGCAAATACATAATGAATAGGTTTGTTTTGGTTTTACTAAATATTTCATTTAATAAATCTACCTTGCCTCATAACTGAAAACAGTGATGAGAATACTTTAATTATCATTTCTTCTCGTTTTAATTTTCAGGAAAATGGTGTTGCTGTGCACATGTATTTAAATCTTCATAATGCAAAGAAATTAAATCACTAACAAAAGCATGTGAATGGCCAAGTAATAAAAGGAGAGTACCTAAGTACACAAAAATAGCGTAAGACTGCAGAAATCATGTCATAAAACTAAAGAAAATTTGAATGTTTTTTGTGTTCTCCGGCTTCAAAGGCTTCTTCACCTCCTAGAGGAGCTCCATTCTCTATTATTACACCTCAAGAGCAAAGAGTGTATAATCCAAAAGGTGTGCAATATTGATGGTTAGAATTTTTGAGAAAAGTTAAATTAAGACTCACTCTATTTATCACACTCCATTAACTTCCCTTGTGGTTCTTCAGCATTTTTAATCACACCATCAACTAATCTAATTAATCACTATTTTCTATTGATGCTTCCTACAGAATTCTGTGCATTTGACCTAAGAAGTATTTGTCTTAGGATTAAGTATGATCAAGTAGTAAGTAAGCAAAACTTAAGCTTGCTTATGAAAAACTAGGTTATGTATTACCGATTTGAAAGGAATAAATGAATTCTTCCATTCATCCATTTATCCTACAAGTAGTACAAGATGCTCAAGAAGGCAGGAGCCTTCGGTTTTAGAGAAATACTACATTTTCATCTCAGGTCTGTAACCATCAGGAAACTGCAGATTTCCAGTGTCCCTAAAGTTTGTCTGCTTCTCTTCCTCTTGCTTTTGGAGGAAGATGAAGAATAGGAACTGTCGGCCCGGGAATGCTGTGCTCACCAAACCCTGGCAAAGACTTTGTCATTCCAGATGAGGAATAGGAGGCAGTAGCTCAGTCTCTGTAATCAGGCAAAACCTTAGGTAATGCTATTATCAAAATGGTGGCAAACAAGGTTAATTATAAAAGCCTACTTTTCTAAGAAAAGCTGCTTTACAGAAAAGGTAAAGCATTTCTTTATCTTGATAGTAATTGTGTGCCAGGAGAGGAAAACAACAGCAACTACAGGTTCGTACAGAACTGCCTTACTAGTCTATTCAAGTGCTTGACTCCTAATTACACAATGGTGATATCCTGATCCAATCTTTAAAAATACATACAACAAAAGAGATGACATTTACCAACATTTGCCCTACGGTGGTGTTTTTGGAATATTACTATTTTGTTGTGACTCAAATATTTGGAAGCGTTCTAAGGCAAGCGTTGCTGTATCTTAGCTGTTGGTAAAGGGTGGACTTCTGGCAGCAGCGGGTGCATATATAACAGCCATAGCAACTCCAGCCTCAACCAATACTCAATGTGCGTCTCAATAGAGATATTTGGAATGGAAGAACTTATTTCAATCTGAGTTAAAAGAGAAGTTTCTATCTTCTGTATTAGTTGTGTCTTTTATTATATGAGATATTACAGTCTGACCGAAAGAAAGAAAAGATAAAAATAGTGCTGATTAATCTTACTGTCATAAAGTGGTTGTTCCTGCTAACAAAGAAGAGGACATTATGTTCTCCTGCAATATAATCTGTCCTTTATAACCCTCATAGCAAAATAGCCACATACAAGAATCAGAAACTGTACGGTTTACTCATATCCCCTTATATTTCTCAAAGGCAGAGGATGATAACTGAGAATACTGGCTGATAAAAAAGCTTGGTTAACAGTCTGTGGTATTATACTCTTCATGGTTATCACCAAACTGCCTAAAGCAATGTCTAATCTTGAGTGGAAAAACAAGAAAGCCAAAGAAAAAAGTGTGTTGTTCTCTGAGATGAAATAATTTCAGTCACCCTTGGAGGCTGAAAAATTAACATTTGCTTGCACTGCTACAACCATTTCTCAGTTGGCCCCAAATGTAGTATGCTAGTGAATATTATCAAGACTAATAACTTCCACGACCGACTTTGAATATTAATAGTACTAACAAAGTTAAATCTTACTTTATCATGGTATATTGCCTTTGAATTCACATACAAACCCACTTTAACTATTAACCTAGTCTGATTAAACCATGCTGAGCTAATACTCAATGGATCAAAATAAGTGCAGTTACTAGGCAAAGCTGCATATATAAATGCTTCATTCCACGGTATCCCTCGCATCTACAAGTCATCAGTAGAAATAACGTTAATTTTCCTATTTATTCATTTTTTAGACTCATCAGAAAGTCTTCAATATGTTAACTTATAAACTAAACATTTTTCTCTTTGACTAGTATTATTTGTTATCTTCTATCTCAAACTGGATGTCCACAGATTAAAAACATATATGGAAGAGGATATGAACTATGATGACCACATTAACTACAGCTTTACCCAAATGTGGTGTTTCTGCCTACATTAACATTTTGTACATTAAAAGGACATGACCTTTTGAAAATGTTACCTACTACTTGGTTTAAATGCATCATTTTACAAGAGTGAACAGAAGTATTTGTGAATGTATTTTCCAAATCGGAGAGGTTTTTAGCAAGGACACATGAGTTTATCTTTCAGAGACCCCATATGGTGCAAACAGACTATATGGGATCCATAACAATGCCTTGCCTATGATTATCTATGCTGGCACTCTTTCCGTGATTCATTTTCCATGCTTCTTTAGTCTAAAGCTTCCCAGGGGTGGAGACTGCTGGCTGTACTCATTTGAAGATAGTGGCTATCATGGTTATCATTTATGAATTAATTGTTTGTGACATACACAAGTAGTGTTCTTGAAAGTGTAGTTCTTGAATGTTGAACTGGTTTTAGTTGCCAGAAAGACAAATGTAGGCTGACTTCTTTTCTTGGAAACTACACAGGATGGACACAGTAAGTTTTCCTTTAGTGATAGATCAGAATTCATCTTGTCTCTATATTTGACTACTCATACAGGCAGTGGCTGAAGACTTTCACAAGGTAGACAGTAATTCCATATTTAGTTCTCAGATTCACTTCAAACAAGCTGGTATAAAAGTCGTGCTAATGTTGATGTTAAACTATCCTCATGAAGCACAAATTGTCACTGCTCTTCCCCTTCCATCTTTAGCTATTTTACAGAGGATTGCTTCTCTTTATCTTAGGGAGACGTGAAAGGCAAATTGTCAGTAAAGACTAACCAGAGTAACAAGCTGCAAGATGTACTCTCATACATTTAAGTAGTTTTATGAATCAAGTTCTATTGAACTACTCAGGACGGCTCCAATATTCACAAAAGTTGAATCCTGCAACACCTTACTCTCACTCTTATTCTGCCAGTCCTGGCTCAAGTAGTTCTCCAGCTACAGTTACACAAATCAGGATGCTGGCAAAGTTACCAATTCGCTGATAATTCCAAACCACTCTACTCGATGCCAGAAGGCAGATTAAGACATGGGGAAAAAAAACAGTTTAGGATTTAAAAGCCTTGTTCATCCACAGCTGCCTGTAGGTGGGTACTTTTTTCACGTAGAGCAGCGGAGGAATCCTTCTTATGGCGGAAAAAAACAAACTGAATTTCAAGTTTTCAGCTCCTTTTGCAAATACAGTGTTAGGCTGCACATTCCTTCTGCTGCTGTATCTGTCAGCAGGGAGAGACGAGTGTGCTGTTACACGACGAATTTTATTATATTTTTTCTTGCATTTAAACAGCTTTATCTCATCCTTCCAGGTTTTGGGAGGCAGTTGTGCAGCAGCTTTCTATTTAAGCTCATCTCTTTTGCAATTATCCTAAGTGTTACAACACTCTACAATTATTCTTCTTATGAGCTACATTAATCATTTATTATATTGGAGAGAAGTTTTGGTTTAAGGAAACGAATCATAATATCAGAGAATACTGCAGTAACACTGAACATATCTATTTTGTTAGACCACCGTATCTTGGGATGGAGATAAGCTTCTTTGTGTACAGAATGGAGAAAAAGAAGGTCGGGGTTGGACCCAGTGGATTGAAGGAGATGAAATGCACCTGGTAAGATCATGTAACAGGTTTTAAATGCCACTCAATTAAAATGGTTAGCTGTAATGCAGCAGGCTGTGTGGTATGTTATCTTGGCTTACTTTGACATAATTCTGTATTGGTGCAGCATTTGATTTGTTTATAAAGCAACATTTTCATTTGGAGCAATTATACTTTTATGTCGCTTACAAAGACTGCCTGATTGCAAAGCAGTACTCTTTCTGTGTTAACTCTCTGTCCAGACATACCAGTTTGAAATGTTTACACTGAGGAAGGCATTTAACAGGACGTCCTTCATACAGTCTGGGAAATACACAGTATGGGAGCTGGTGAAATTATGCATTCAACAACAAGCCATAAGGGGAAAATACACCATTGTTCTTTTAAAATAATTAAAGGCCAGACTGCATTATAGCCTAGAGACCTAAAACAGCAATTAAGTTTTTGAAATGTCATGTTCTTTCAGATGATCATTTTTATCTTTCTCAGTTAACAGAACCTGAAAGAAGATGCCTATTCTTTTCTCACATAGCTCTTTACAGCATCGTCACTCTCTCATCAATGTTGATAAAAGGCAGTCTTCCTGCTGCGATAATAAATCCAACCTCCATTTCCATTCACTGTTCCTTCAGCAGTCTAAATGGATGTTTTCTAAATATTCAAATCAGTAGAAAAGTTATGAAATCTTTGCAAAAGTACCCCAAACCCCTTATTACTAAACACAATTTTCAGGAAGTACTGGAAATCCCAGAAACCAGTTTGGGAAAGGAATGTATTTGACAGATCTTACCACCTGGACTACACACTTGATGTAACGCAGATAGGGAAAAACTTACTGTGTAAGTGATCACTTTATAGCTGAGGTCATGGGCTCACTGAAAGTAGGTGGGAAGCAATAAAAAGGAGAGTCCAGAATTTCCTGTATATACATATTTTCTCTAGCTATACACAAATACACCACAGTATTTCCATGCTACCTCCCAGGTTCACAACAGTTGGTGCGATGAGACCAAGCATCAGCCCTTTCCTTTCTCTACTGGCAGACAGGTTGCAATTAGCCATATAATGTCTGGCCTAGAAGTTCAGCTTACACATTGCTGCACTCAATCATACACATATGTGCACTCATCTGCACGTATATGAAGCAATAGTACTAGTTGCTCTTGGATTTCTCTGTATTGGCATCCTGGTTTCTGTCCCTTACCAGCACTGCAATCAGTATCTCTTCCCATTTCCTGTCACCAACACCGATTTCTTTAGCCCTGATTTCTGCTATCCTTGCTCTGATTCATGCTCTAGCCATACAACCTGGCCATGGACCTCCAGGCCAAACCACTTTCTATACTTGACCCTGTCAACAGTTTGATTTTAGATGTCATAAATTCAGATTCAGTTGTTCAGACATATGTGTCTAGTGCCACTTTATGTACCCCAAGGTAACCTGACTGATCTGAGCCGGCTTTTTCAGAAGGCTTTGAAGAGTTCTGTATCATACCTGCCAGCTCATGCAGGCATCCGTGCACTCATTGGCACGCGTACAATTTATCACAATCAGTCTCTCATACACAACAGTCAGTCCAAAATTATTTCATGCAAAGGAAATAACCAAGTATTTTAGAGGCCAGTCCCCAATATTTCAATTTTATCACTTTTTATATTTCATGAACTTCAAAAGATGCCCTCTTTATTTCTCTGAATCCTTGTCAATGTAACTCTCTCCATTAAACATACAGTAAAAGAGTCCCATTTAGCATCTTATTTTTGACTAGCTAAGATTACTAGGTCCTGTACTCTTGAGAGTCCTTTGATGCAATGGGCAGTTACCTCTAAAAAATTGATACTCCAATAGCTTTATGATCCTATTGAACTTTACACAATGAGCCAAGTGTTAATTTAATTCTTTCCACAGTTCTGTAGAGAGTAGTACCGCATCCTTTAGTAGTTTATCACCTCCTATTTTCTCCATTTCATTCTATGGTCTGTACTTTGTAGTTCTTTTTCCTCCTTAGATTCTATTTTATGTGAGTGACTTATTTGACCATTCTCCATTTCCTTTTGAGTTTTATTGCCCTTTTCTATTGTATTGATTGCTTCTGCTCTGTAGGTTTTTGTCACTGTCAGCAGATCTCTTAGCCCTTATTGCACACTCCTTGTTCCGGGTTACCTATATAGAAGTGAACAAAACAGGTCCTAACTAAAATCACTGTATCAGTCTGCTTGTTTAATCAATTCATCGTGAAGCAATTTCTCTTACTAGGGACTAGCAACGTATGCCAATAAGGTTATTGACTCAGTGTAAGTTTATTTTAATATGTCATTTTATCAAAGTCCCCCATAAGAAAATGTGCATAACTTCCCAGGAAACTCTGCCTTCCGTTTCTTCAAAATATTCTGACAGCTTTATCAAAAGTCTTCTCTTGAAATAGAAAGTACATCCCTTCTGCCAGGTCATACATAAACTTTGTCTTTATGTCGCTTAAGAAGTTCCACCCCTTTTTCTTATTCCACCAAAATCAGTCAACACCTCCACATATCCCCACACATACTGTGTGCACTTCTCAGGTCTAGCTTGAGTAGTTTCAGTAATGGAGAAGATTAAACTGCATCTTCAGTGAGATTAGATAAACGACAGTAGGCCTCACAAATCAGTGCCCAAGATATGAACATCATTGCACCTGCTTATGCACAGTTCCGTGTGATCCAATGACTAGTAAGTAGGGATTTTTGAAAAGCTCTGATGGAACAGAAAAGAACAGTCAACAGCATTAGACATCCAGTATGATCAAGTTCAGTCAAAACTCACTGCTGTACTGTGGTTTATAGACCTAGATCAAATCTTCTGTACACATCTACCTGTCCTTTTCTAGCCATGACCTTTGTGTTGCTAGAGTGGGCTTTCAGCTGATTTCTGGTTTCGTAGATTTGAATGACCAGTCATCAACATACAGATTCAGACGTTGTATTTTTTAATTATTTTCTCTTCCTAGGAAATAAGAGTGTGTGGAGTCAAGTGCAAGCAGGTCTTTAAGAAGGTACAGTGAGCCTACAGCTGAGACAGAAGTGAAGAACAGTAGAATTTACCACCAAATCTCCAAATGCTAGTAATGAACATCATCAGTGACAAGAGCAAACCCAGAAATGAAGATCACATTAGAACTGTATAGTTAGAAAAAATATTTTTAACAAATCATTTTAAAGAAATAACTGCAAATAAAACTATTTTTAGAAATGCCAATTAAAGATACTAAACACTACAGATGTGTGTGTACCATAATTCTTGACTACACTAATTTAGGACTGTTTGTTATAAAACAAGATACTGGAGTTTAAGACCTTGTAAGCTATTTTTTTTCTTACAGTGGAAATCACCCTTGCATAGCCTTAGCAAGGGGCCTTCAGGTAGTCTTGTTTTCAGATGCTGAATTATAGTTGTAGGGAAGTGACTGAGAGCTGTAGTAAGTGGCTTACACTTAAATTCTGATTTCACTGAAGCCAATGAGAATTTACCATCAGCTCCAATGGACCAGTACTTCACTGAAAGTATTCCACCAAAAACAAAACTCTGATTTCTCAAAATAAGTAAAGATATGGATCAATAATCTGGAAAAACAGTACTTGCAGAAGCATGGCCAAAGGGCAATTATTTTATAAATGCTTTGGCCACTATCCGCCCATTGGGTTTTTTTGGTCTTATTCTGGAGAAACTAGTAGTAAGATAGCTGCTAGAAACTGTATATAATTGTACACACACGACACAAAAGATATGACTAGAATTGCTTTGTACAATATCGTTTGCAGATGTTTTTTACAACCCATCATAGTCCTCATATTCTCATGCAGACTGGGTGCATAACAAAGCATTAGCCTAGCGGTTTCCAGCACTGATTTAATCACTAGTTATATTAATAGTAATTTGCTAACCAAATTGTTATATTTTCAGTCTGTCAACACACTGGATATACAATTAGCACCACCACTCCAAGTTCAAAAGGACACAATGACACAGGGTGCCTGGTTAGACCTGATTAGACCTTTAGCACATGACACATTACAGGTGTCTCCTGTAACAACTGTTATTACCCATTTTCGGGGATGTCGTCAATGGGGAGGTTGCTACGGCAGAGGCTGAGGTGTTCTAAAGTGGGAAGATACTTTTACTTATCTACTGCAACCCCTGTGCATAGCATTGCTTTTGCCTTCTTTGGGAACCCAGCGCTAAGACAGAGAGAAATTTTAGACATTCATCATGAAAATGGCAACAAATGCCGCCATCATCCACTAATCTGAGACAGTTTTAAAATATGCATCATTATTAAGCCTGTTTAGAAAAGCTAGCAGCCTGATCTAACATGAAGAAATGGAGGTTCAGGAACAGTCATTGAAAAATATAAACTTAGTACAGCAAGGATGATAAACTTTCTGAACTAGGGTATTTCAGCCATACTATATATATTGTGAGTGTAGCACCAGATGTGCTGTAATGGACATCTAATTCAATTTTGTAAAGTTTTGGGGTTTACTGTACGTCAGAAAATACAAATAAAATATTATACATGAAGACTTAAGCATCCCTATGTGATAAACAGGTGAGACAACCGATAGGACAACCCATAGGACAAGAGGAAATGGCGCCAAGTTGTGCCAGGGGAGGTTTAAGTTAGGCATTAGGAAAAACTTCTACACTGAAAGGGTTATCAAAGACTGGAACAGGCTGCACAAGGAAGTGGCTGAATCGCCATCCTTGAATGTATTTAAAAGCCATCTGGATATGATGCTCAGGGACATGGTTTAGAAGTGGGCCTGGTAGTGTTAGATAACGGGTGGACTTGATGATCTTAAAGGTCTTTTCCAGCCATAACGATTCTACGATTCTATGAAAAATACTCCCTCTCCATGTAAATTCTTGTGTTACTATTGTAACAGCTGTGGCTCATACTACTTAGAATTACAGACATATGTAATGCAACTGTTTAAGTTCCCTTGTAATATTTTTTCTTGGTAATACATAATAATCATGCCTGAGGAAGACTCTGGGAATTATACCTGAGCCTAGTCAACCAGATACATGCAGAAGCTGATTTTTTCTCAGGGAAGAGTGTGTTAGCCATCTATCTATTTTTCCATGGCTAAATGGATAAACCTCCTGACAGATATACAGATCAGCAGTAAATGGTGATTAAGTTTTCTTGTACTTGGAGTGGGACAGGTCAAAACTGGTTACAATTAAATAAGACAGGAAGGTTGTGGGGGAGGGAAAAGGATCAGAAACCTGTGTATATCAGGTGAAAAACACTGTTCTGCTTAAGTGAAATCACAAATCGCTGTCTACTTAAAATGTTATTTATCACCTTACAGAAGGCTGGAGATATCCCAGTTGCCAAATTTCAGTGCATCAGTCATTTGTTTTTCTTGAAAGATTATTTGACACAGAAACCTTTCCTTCAAGTTTCTAAATTATTGATTTCTTAACCATGCACACCCTCCAGACACCTCTCCACGCTCCAGCCCCAAGGAAAGCTTGAGAACAATGGAAAATAAGGAATGAACTCCAACTTCTCATTTATAACAGATCTTAATTTTCTCAGACCACCTATATTTTCCTTCTCATGTGAAAACTGAAACTACTCAATAAAGAGATGGTTCACGCCACTATCCACAATTAAACTTTGCATAATTCTTCTTAATGTTCAGCACTGACTGAGACCTTTTCTGAAATGTAGTTTTCCTTCAATAGAACTTGGCAGTTCATAACCCTTAATTCACCAGATGTCTTCTAATTTTCGCCTGCGGCTCCCCGCAGTCTTGTGTAACATTCACAAACTCTTTTTGCACAAGGTTGTAAGTGGATCGATTAACATCTAGTTAAGTAAATCCAATTGTTAAAAGCTATTATTATTGTAATTAAACAGACAGCTTTTCCCCTTTGGGTCATTTGGTACAAGGGTAAATTTAGCACCATACTAATAACTAATGGCTTATCAACCAAAAGCAGTGTAACGTGCTTCTAATTATGAAGAAAAGGCAAGCTCAGGAAGTACTTCCACAGTTCACATACGTAAAATACAGAAGGTTCAGAAATATTTAACTTTGAATGCATTTTCTTCAAATAATCTCAATTGCTTGTCATTATAATTGTAACCTCTTATCTCTACAGCAGCAAGCATTTCCCTTGGAAAAGGAAATTATGTTCATTCATTGCTTCCGTGATGATGCTCTCCAAATAATGCATGTAACATTAGCCATGCTGTTGCCATAAACCTTTAACAACTTGTTATCATAAAATGTAATTTAAAACTTCCTCCATAAAATAGCTGCTTACTGAACGCATAACATTCAACAATTACATGACAAACATCAGCCTCCCTGACTACTTTCAAAGCTACCTAGTAGCCAAGACCTTCACAGTGAATTCGTATCCAGACTTGCTTACTAGTCAGGAATCAATCTTCAAATTAATTTTATTGTTCTTCCACAGAATTTCAGGTACAGTTTGCCAATACCACTCCTGTATTTCTGCACAACTGCATTACTTCCAGATAATGAACAATTTTAATCTTGTAAGAAAAGACCGGTGCTTACAGCAGCAGTGTGAATGAAAAGGTAAAAAGGTGCATTTCACCATTTCTAAAAGTTAAATCCAGTATTGATATTATGCTCAATCCATAGAAGTTGACGAAAGCTGAAGAGTAAATTGAGACCAATGTGTGCCATAAGCATAATTGTTCTACTTCTTCAGTTCCCACAGTTTGGGCTTTTGTGTTCAATTTCTAGGTGGGTATGATCTTCTGAGGATGACTGGGGAACTCACTGCCACATTTTGTAGTTCTGTGGCTTTTCAGTGAAAGACACACACAGAAAGAATGCATACTTGCTGTCTTTATAGCACATGAAGGCATATTGTGCATATGAAGTGTCAGATTTATGGAAGAAGTAGAAAGATAACCATGATTTTAGCAAGCATGGTTCAACAGACCAAAATGCAGAGCCTGAAATTTCAGGATGGCCAAACTTTTCAACTAATTCAACCTACCTTTAACTTACTGCTCCCCTAACTTCCTCCCATTCCTCTTCCCTCTTTCTCTTCAACTCACTCATTGTCCAACAATGTTGTATAATCTGAGTAAGAAGGTCTGGAATACAGCTAGTTTTTTACTGGCTTTCTTATTCCTTCTTTCCCCTCTTCCCCCTAACCAAATTTCATGATTGTTCCATACATTCCTGTAATTGTTTTCTCTGGAAACTGCCTTACTGTACACCAGGCTTACATTTCCCCAGGGAATTCTCCCAGTGATTAGATCATATCCTTTCCTGCTCTGCCCTGTCCAGCAGAGGACATCCTGCTCATTTGGACAATGCACAAATTTGGGGCATGTCCCTATCCTGAATTCCCACATGACTTCCAAGAGGAGCAGAAAGAAGTTTCAGTAGGATTTGAAAGGCATAAAGTATCTGCAAATGCAAAGGATCAGGTATAGAACTGAAACCCTTTGTAGGGGAATGATTCGTAAAGAAAACAGAATGGACTTTTAAGAGTAGGAGGAGAGGGAGGGGTGACAGAGAAGAAAAATTAGAAGCACTAATATTTTTTAACAACTTGATAATGTTTGATGTAATGGCATAATCTCTACAGGTGATATTTTCATTTGGAACATTATTTGTTTTCTGGTTTATATGAATAATTCCAAACATGCATATTAATTTTAGGGGGGGGGCAAACAATGGTATAAAACATTTATCTCAATACCAGAATACTGGATATTTGATATGAGCGCAAATCTAATTTAATCTATACAGAATACATGCATGCCTAAGGACTCTCTAATTTTTTGTTTCTATATTCTAGAAACCCAGGATTTTTTAATAGAGACCAAAATACTTTGCTGGCACAAAAGAACACAAGTTAAAACAGATTCCATTACCCAAAGAGTTATTTTAATATTAATTAATATTATGAAATTAATGGTATTAATTAATCTTGTAAAATGCCTTTAATGCTGCTAGAGCATTTCATCTTCAAATACATTATAGTGCCATGTAGGCACATAATATGACTAACATTATACCACAATGTTAAAATCATAGAGTTGTCTAGGCTGGAAGGGACCTTTCAGATCATCAAGTCCAACGATCAACCTAACACTGCCAAAACCACCACTAAACCACGTCCCTCAGCACCACGTCTACCCATCTTTTAAATACCTCCAGGGACGGTGACTCAGCCACTTCCCTGGGCAGCCTGTTCCAATGCTTGATA